CCAAGCCAAGAGTGGTAGCAATGATCTGGAGCAGAGAAGCCAGCCAGCGGTGGGCTGCCGTCTGCCCCAGGCGCTCAGCCTGGGCAAAGTCCCCCAGCACGTGCGTGGGAGTGGGGAGAAGAAGGCACAGGGAAGGGAACAGGCAGTACCTGGGCCAAGCAGGTGCCCTCCTGGGCCAAGCTGGGTTAGGGTGCCACGGGCTGCCATGAAACCCCCATTATCAGTGTTGGGGCTATGAGAGCCAGGGGCCAGTTTATCAAAGGCCTGTGTGATGAGTCGGTCCTTCTCAATCAGTGCCCATTCCCCCCCTCTCCCAAATGATGTCCTATTGCACCCAGGGCACCGGTTCCTTATCTCTGCACCGTCCCCAACCCCTGCCTGATTTAACCAGCCCTTCTCTTTAGTCCAGAGTGAAAGCGAAAGCGCTTTACAGCAGCTTCCCCTTGACGCTTCCAGCTAAGAGCCAAAGCACCCCTCTCCCCACCAACTTCGCTTGCCCAATCCCTTTGCAGACCCCTAGATAATCCCCTTCAGAACAGACGCCCTGTATTCACTGCGGGGTGCAAGCACTGGGTGCTACAAGCTACCGCCTCACTCTTACTAGTCTCGGTATTCACTCCTTGGTGCTTGCAGAGTCCCCCTGTCGCCCCACTTCCTCCACCCCTGTGCTGACCCTCAAGCCCAGACTCATTACCCCGGTGTGGACTTCTCCGGTCCGGGTTAAGTCCCCGGTTGGTGCTCCGGTCCGCAGCATCACGGCGCCGCGCTCCTCGCCGCCTGGGGCACTGGTTTCCGACCTAGGACAGCGAGCTGCGCGCACGCTTCAGTCCCGCCCCTTCTCCACGCCCGCCAGGGGGAGCCACGGTCCTCTTCCCGAGGCTTAGCGCCCGGGCGCTAACCTGTGTGGGGCAGATCTGCCCGGAGACGGGTGACTCAAGAGCCCCGCCCTGAGGCTGGGCTAAAGAAGCCTTGACAAGTGGATCCGGCTAGAAGTGGCAAGAGAAGGAGGAGGGACGAGTGTACGTGATGGAGAAGGTTAGCACCCAGGCAGCTCCCCCGGACCTCAGAATTGATTTCAATCGACGCTCCCAAAATAGTGTGGGCTGCGCGGCGCGTCGGGAAGTGGGCGGGTCTAGTGAACCCGCGGCGCTTTCGTTTTCCCTTTCCCTTAAACGGCTCTCTTCTAGCAAGCGCGACCAGGCTCAGCCGGTTCCCGGGACTTTCCGAGAGCGCCGCCCCGGCCCGCCCCTCACTCCCGCCCCTGCGCAGCACCCAGAGCGTCGGGCCCAGCGGGGACCGCGGAGAGTCCCAGGCCCGGGCGCGACCTCCGCGTGGCAATGGCCAGCTCAGGGCCCCCCGCTCCTTACGGGTGCCTCTGCCTCTCCCGAGCTTCTCTTCCGTGGCTGGGGACAACGATGCTGCTTCTTGCCGACTGGGTGCTGCTCCGGCCGGCGCTGCCAGGAATGTCGTCCCTGCTAGTGCCCGCCGCGCTGCCCCTGCTCAGGGTCTGGGTTGCAGGCCTGAGCCGCTGGGCAGTGCTGTGGCTGGGGGCCCGTGGGGTCCTCAGGGCAACCGCTGGCACCAAGAGTGAAAGCAAAGGAGCCCAGGGATGGCTGGCTGCTTTGGAGCCACTGGCGGCGGCGCTGGGCTTGGCTCTGCCAGGACTTGCCTTGTTTCGAGAGCTAAGCTCGTGGGGGGTCCCCAGGGACGCTGACAGCACCAGGCTACTGCACTGGGGAAGCCGCCTCGACGCCTTCGCCCTCAGCTACGCAGCGGCACTGCCCGCAGCCGCCCTGTGGCATAAGCTCCTGAGACTTTGGGTGCCAGGAGTTTACGGGGGTTCTGGAGACGCGGTGCGTCGGCTTCTAGGCTGCCTGGGCTCAGAGATACGCCGCCTCCCGCTCATTCTGGTCCTGTTGGTCCTCTCCTGCCTTGGTAAGGGGGTCCAGGGCAAGAGGGATGGACGCTAGGGGACTGGGCAGGAATCAAGAGTAATGGTCCGTGAGATAGGTTACTGAGTTCTGGGAAACGTGGGTCAGAGGACGGTGACTCAGCTCGGGTCTTGAGACCACTCCTGGAATGGGTGGGAGTCCGGAGTCCTGGACTCCAGTGCTGCTCCAGGCATCACTTCAGTGGGCCTCCTGGGGCGGGCAGGTCCTTTCCTCTGAGGCAACATCTTTAATACAAGGGTATCTTAAGATACTCCATGATCTCTAAGCTTCCTAATCAAACTCCTAAAGGTCTGGTTGGGCTGCAGGGCTTTGAGCTCCAGGCCGGCCTGCTCAGGTACAGGGTTGTGTCTGTGTTGTCTTTCAGCCTCTGCCCTCCAGGATGTTGCCGGGGCAGTCTGGTTGGGGCTGGCCTGCTTAGACTTGATATCTGTGACTGACACATCTCTTCTGTCCCTTCGCAGGCGAGATGGCCATTCCATTCTTCACCGGCCGCCTCACTGACTGGATTCTCCAAGATGGGGCAGCAGCCACCTTCACTCGAAACATAACTCTCATGTGCATTCTCACCATAGCCAGGTCTGGGGGCTGAAGGTGGAAGGCGGAGAACAGGTGTTGGAGGGTGGTGTGGGGGGAGACTGAAAAAGAGGGAGTTGGAAGTTGAGGCTGCCGTCTAAAGTGCCATCTAAAGACCTGCTCTGTCCCCTGAGCACAGGCTGACCCTTGCTCCTCCGTCTCTGTCTCTCTCTAGTGCAGTGCTGGAGTTCATGGTTGATGGGATCTATAATAGCACCATGGGCCGCCTGCACAGCCACCTGCAGGGAGAGGTGTTTCGGGCTGTCCTGCGCCAGGAAACAGAGTTTTTCCAACAGAACCAAACAGGTTTTTCATGAAACTCTTTCATTGCACATCCACATGCTATTTATGTCCCCAGAGAGCCCCTTGTACTTGTAACTTTGAGATATCCCCCCCCTCCCCATAGACATTGTTATTTCTTATTCTTGGTATGCCTCAAGAGCAAAACATCTTTACCTTCAGAAAAGCTTAGTTTATCCATCCAAGATTTTTTCATAAATGTATCCCTATATGTGTATTTAGATGGAAACTATAGCATTGCAAACCTGGAAATTTTGAGATCACAGAGTCCAACTGCCTCATTTTACAGAGAAGAAAACAGGCCTAGACTCTAAATGCTGAAACTTGTGTGGTCACATGTGGATAGAGACGAACTTGAGGACAGAACCCGTCTCTTGATTCCCACAGTTTCCTGGACCGCTTTCTAGCAGTACCCTCTGTTTTCCTCTAGCTGTTATATGACCAGCCTAAGCTCTTCCTGCCGTTGTGTACAGCCTGGGATATACAAGTTCTTTAAGGAACAGAAATCTGTCAGAAAAATGGGAATTTACATGGGCATCAATTTCTTTATAATTAAAATGAAGACTTTTGGCCAGACTTTCCCTGTCCAACATACTCTCCCTGCGTTGAGACCCCCAAACTTCCCTGTACCCCTGACTTGTTTTCCCTAGCCTCCTTGGAACATCATGTTTACACCCCTCCCCCTGGGCCCTGGCTCACTGCTAGTCCCGCCCATCACTCAGCCTGTCATTTACTCCACTGTCTTCTCCCTAACCCCTGCAAGGTGCCATCACATCTCGGGTAACAGAGGACACGTCCACCTTGAGTGAGTCTCTGAGTGAGGAGCTGAACCTATTGCAGTGGTACCTGGTGCGGGGGCTGTGTCTTTTGGGGCTCATGCTCTGGGGGTCACTGTCCCTCACCATGGTCACCCTCGTCTCCCTGCCTCTGCTTTTCCTGCTGCCTAAGAAGCTGGGAAAATGGTACCAGGTATGTCCAGGGAGTTGCCTCAACCTACACAGACCCTCATCTCCCTCACCTGGAGGACTCAGTTCCCCTTGGGTTTCTTTCCTGCACCCTCTCTGATTCTCCATGTTCCTGGAACTCCCCAGTCTTGTAGTCCGTGTTCCCACATTGCTCACTGTTTATCTTCATGGTCTGTGTGTTCTAAGTTCTGCCCACAGTCTGTCTTTAAGATTATGATCACCGCTTGCAAGACTGTGATCCCATCATGCTTCTGAGTCATTTTCCTCTCCTATGGGTCTCTTTAGGATCCCAGGGGTATAGCCAGATCCCTTTCTCTTCTCTCCCGTTCCTCTGCCTGTTCTCGCCTTTAATCTCCAACCAGGTAACTCAGGTACTAATGTCCCTTATGGTTTGCCAACCCTGGTGACATCACTTGGACATGTCTCCACAGGTGCTGGCAGTACAGGTGCAGGAATCTCTGGCAAAGTCCAGCCAGGTGGCCATTGAGGTCCTGTCAGCTATGCCTACAGTCCGGAGCTTTGCCAACGAGGAGGGTGAGGCCCAGAAGTTTAGGCAAAAACTGCATGAAATGGAAACACTCAACCAGAAGGAAGCCGTGGCCTATGCAGTCAACCTGTGGACCACCAATGTGAGAACCTGGAGATGAATTCCTACTCCCTTTCCCCCAACACACTTTGACTCCACTCCCTTTCCTGTGACGCTGCTCCATGCTCCTCCTCCCCTGGGCAATGGGGGTTCAGTGTTCTCATCCCAGCAACCTGAGGCTCAGTTACCCTACCCCGTGTTCCTGACCCACTCCCTCTTTTTAGACAAGCATCTAGCAGATGGCTTTCTTTCTCTGTGGCACACAAAATCTACCCAACCTCCCTTTTAGGAAGATGCCGTGTCTTCTATAGCCTCCTTTGCTTCCCAGGGGATGCACAGGGAGCCAGAAATTCCTGCACCTGGACTTGCTTCATGCTGGGACTGTGTGGATGTGCTAGTGAGAGACGTGGGAATAGCAGAAGCTAAGGATGGGGGGCATCTGTGGTGTTATTAGAGACCTAGACCAGCAATCAGAAGTTCCTGGCTGTGACCATGCCTAGTAACTTACCTTCTCTGAGACTGTTTCCTCATTTTGAAAAAAATGGGAGTGATATAACCTCATTTATACAGTTCTTGATATGAACATTAGCTTACTTTATATTCATGAAAGCCTTTTGTGATGAGCAAAGTGTTCCCCAAGCAAGGTGATAATGGTGATGTTGATGACTTCTGTCATGAGTAATTGCGTGAGACCACAGGTCTCTATGGGTCTTTCTCCCTTTCTACTTATGGAGTGTCCTGCTGTTATGTGGGGAAGGGGACTTGCCATCTCCTTAATGCTGAGGATTCTTGTTCTTTGTTTCCGCCTGTTAGATTTCTACCACAATCCCTTTTCTCCACGCTCTCTCCACAGATCTCAGGGATGCTACTGAAGGTGGGAATCCTATACATCGGTGGGCAGCTGGTGACTAGTGGGGCTGTCAGCAGTGGGAACCTTGTCACATTTGTTCTCTACCAGGTCCAGTTCACCGCAGCTGTTCAGGTGAGGCCCTCCCAGTGGCACGACTCCCCAATGCTCTTCCTTATCCCGTCCCATCACCACCTGTGTCACTCTCCTCCCATCCTTTACCTTTCTCACATCACATAGCCCTGGCAAGCAGATTTGGACCCCACCTCACTATTCATATCTCCCCTCCAGGTACTGCTCTCCACCTATCCCAGGGTACAGAAGGCTGTGGGCTCCTCAGAGAAAATATTTGAGTATCTGGACCGGATCCCTTGCTGCCCAGCCAGTGGTGTGTTGACTTCTCCAAAGTTGGAGGGCCTCGTTCAGTTCCAAGATGTCTCCTTTGCCTACCCAAGCCATCCAGATGTCCCCGTGCTGCAGGTGCAACCTCTCACTGCCCGTACTCCATCAAATACACTCTCGACCCTCCCC